TTAACATGTCTTATATACTAGTTATTTGGAATTACATTTTTGTAGTAGTAGACACACTACAAAAGCATTTAATAAACGCTTTTTCTCACAATTTATTGTTTGGATAACATCTTATTTATGGTTAGTTGACTTATTTGTTTGAATAAGATAAAATAACAATTAAATAAATTGTTATTCAACCATTTCTTCCGAGAAATGTCTACCAGTGTAGATACAATTAGATAATCTAAGTATTGATTACTTTTGTTTTTATTGAAAAATTAAAAATAAGAAATTGTTAATGAAGGACACTAATAGAAAAAGTTAGATTTGATAGGTTTGTTAATCGTAAGCTGGTTGATCCCATAAATACGTAACCACACTATTAACGATTTTATCTAAATAGAAAAATGGGGACTAGGTATAATAATGCAGCCATGAACTATTAGATGAGAACCTTTCCTGTGTCATCTGGACAAAGATTGAGAATTCAATGTTCTAATCACAAAAATTAGATAAAAAGAGAAGTTGACTAAAAACGATATAAATCATTATCGATTTTGCACAACTCGGGATTCAGTTCTAGGAATGCGTCCGTTACAATTACCAAGCATTTCGGTGTTCTCATAGAGCCAGACATTAAATTTTACCATATTCTGGTATTTTTACCATACATTTTCTTCACTGCAGAGAAAATTTTTAAAAAAATCTTATGAAACTTTTTTGCAAAATTTAAGCAAAAATAATGGGCTTGATTACTTTAGTATTTATATAGAATTAATTTTAGATAAAAATTAGTTCATACTAACTTCCAAAAAAAAAAGCATTCCAGAAATTAGCTCAATTTTAGAGACCAATGAGGAAAAGGGCAATGCGGCCAATGCCAATGAGACCAACATCAGACAAACATTTTAAAAGTATAGCTTTCCAAATACCTAATAAACGTCAACAAAAATCAATAAATATTTTCTTCAAGAAGCAAATTCCTCAAAATAACCTAATATTTTTGACAAACTGTAAGATAGTTTTTCGTGAGTAGGTTTTATAAAATTGAATTTTAAGGCATACTGTACGCATATGACTTTATTTTTAGAAATTATTATTTTTTCGTTTTTTTCCTTCAAAAATATAGCTAGCAAAATTTCTATAAATCTATATTTTCTAAGATATATATAAAAGTCGAAATATTACATTTTCTACCCAATTTCAATCACTTTCAAAACATCAAATTCATATTTTTTATTTTTTTCATATATTCCCACTTCCCCAATATCAATAACTGCCATTACAATAATTGTTGATAAAATATTTTCTTTTCAGAGATCAAAATGTTTTCTTTAATAGCCATATTTCTTTTAAGAAGGCAATATTTTTTGTCTTAAAGTTATATGAAAAGATTTATTTTATGTATAACTTTAAAATATTATCTAAGGCAAATCGTTCTTTTTTAGCCCGCAGATGTTTCTTATAAAAGCCTTCAGCATATCGAAAAGATATATCGTTATATATTAAATTGCGATTACCGACGATTTATCTTGGTCTTAAAAAGCCCCAAGCATAAATTTTGAACCTAAAACTTTTTAAGTAAAATAGTGTTTTATATCATTCTTTTTAAAATATTTTGCTAGTTACGCTTCCCTTCCATATTTAACTTTCAAATTCACTGCTGAATTATTCAAATTTTTCATATTTATACGACAAACTTCTGTAATATTTCTTAAGTCAAGCATCCAAGTATTTTATTTCAAGTAAAGTGGAGGGGGGGGGTGCACTTTCCGAAATATATTCCTTATCATGGTGCGTGTTGAATATTTTAAACTCTTGTGCGAACAAGTTTTCTCTTTATTTATACAATTATCTGCTGAGACAAAGCAGGATAAATCTGTTGATAAAAGTATAAAATTATTGATAAGTTGTTCTTTTATCGAGCTAATGTAATAATTTATTTGCTGATAATATAATTTGTCTGCAGATTAAAACCTACAGTTTCAATTTTAAAAACAAAATTTGCGTAGATATTTGCATACCACATAATCCCATTACTGCAACATAAAAGGAAAATATTATTTTATGTAAAGAAGGAGTGAATTTAAATATTAAGAATAAAGAAATATTTCATTATATATATATATATATATTTGNCCATATATATATATATATAAATATTGTACCATATATATATATATATATATATGGTACAATATTTTACAAACTATTTTATATTTTTTTATAATTCAATTCTTGTACTAATTGCATAAAATTTTTTTAACTGATTAATCCCTTTTATCTTATTATTTTCAAGAAAACGATCATTAAATTGCCTATTTTTTTTCAAGAAAATTAAATAAAAATAGGTGTTTGTGCAATATAAGTATTCATTTTTGCTTTTTAAAATTTATTTTAGCTAGAAATTTACAACTCCATATGTCCATGCAACTCTGACTCCATAATTACATAATTTTAACAAATGTTTTATCACCAAACACAAACCCCGTGTATTCACTAGGAGCATACGTAGCTGAGCTAATAGTACGAAATACATATCACAAATGCATATATTTGGATAGTGCTGATATATAATTTAAAATAAACTAACTTAGTTACATTAAAAATAACCTGGTGCAGCCATCTAGTTTGTAAAATGAGAAATAAAAAAATTCCGGGTACACCAGAGATGGATATATTTAAATCTTTTCAGTGCATTACTTTCAAAGGCTCTCGCCAGGAAATATCACAGACACGAGAATTAGGAGACGAAAGCTCACCCCTTGATTTTGACGTGAGCGAAAGGGAAGGGGTTAATATATCAGTTGCAGTCCCTTTAAAAAAATGCAGAAAATGAATAAATGAATATACTTCCAACGATGGTTAAAACAACTTTTTGCTGTTTAGCAAATTTCAAATTTTACTGTTCAAGCAATTTTTACAACCTCAAGTAAATGACTATCAACCGTTTAAACTAGTATGTCTAGTAAAGTATTGTTATGTTTCTAACGTAATTAAATTACAAGTTCTGGTTTGTTAAAAGCATGGGGATTCAGTTTAAGCTATTACAAACAGAAATGAGAGTTAGACCACATCACAGCAAATTAAGATTTGCATAGCAAACTTTAGCCAAAATGTCTTCTTATGCTACTTGGGTTCCTTCCCTAATATTGACAAGCTGTTCATGCGGATTTGTAGCACAGGTACTTTTACTTATCTAAATTACCTTTTGTTAAAATTACGTTTCATAGTATTGTTAAAACCATAGCGTACTGATATTTGAGTACTCACATGTAAGTAGGCCTAGGTCAAAGAATTTCGAATCGGCACAAAAATAGCAGTTCATAAATTAATAATTTGGAGACCTATTTAGCAAACTGGATAAATTTGTCAATATTGTGTATAAACAAATATTAGAAATTATCTATTTCTAAATTCTCCATTAATTTTTATGATGTTTTTATTATTTCAGTGAATATACATATACAAAAAATATATTAATAGTTTCTTCAGAAAAATTCATTTCCTTTGGAGTTTCTTCAGAAAAATTCATTTTCTTTAGAGTTTCTTCAGAAAAATTAATTTTCCTTAAGAGTTTCTTCAGAAATCTTCAGATATTTTGAAGATTTTACTTTTTTTGAAAAAAATGTTACTACACTTATCTTAAATATTTTATAGTCATTTTGAAGACAACTCTTGCTTTAAATATCTGCAGATTTTGTCTGCAAAACGCCAACGATAAGTCACAAGCATTATGAATTAGCAAAAGAAAGTGAAATATTTTTCAGATTCAGCAGGACTGCAAATGTTTTTTTTAGCATGCATGTTAATTTTTTCTAATTTGACTTCCTAGAACAAAAATACTAATATAATTAATATGAGTGAAAAGATTAAACTTTCTATAGTTGGTTTTAATAAGTCTGATGATTATAAAATATGCTATTTCCTGGGATATTAAAAATACACACAACGCAAGTGCGTTGTGTGTATTTTTATGTTGTTTTTTTCAATATAAGAAAAAAAACATGAAAATCTATCACAAAAAATAACATAACAAGAAAATTAGATATATTAATGTAAAATGCAATATATTTTTAAACCAATGTGTGCAAGCAGAAGTTTCTCAAGAAAAATAATGAAAATTTGTGTTTTTTCAAGCTTTCTGAAGAAAATACCATTCTAAAAGTCCCCCTTTTTTAGTCTATGTTTTACATAAGGTTTCAACAATTCATTGGGAAGATTTCTGTAGAACATAATGTCTGAAAAAGATCTGAAGCTATTTTGACTCGCTTTTTAAGCATAATTTTGCCGAAAATTAGAGATTTAATCTGAATATTTTATATCTTAATTTAATTCTGATTAATTTTCATAATTTTAAGCCTAAAGATTTCTAATAGTCGTATAAATTGTTGGGAATCTTTGAATTAATAAAAATTGAAGTATTAATAAATGTTTGGGAACACCTTGGAGCTGTACATGTAATTTAGCCGAGGGGGCTAATCTGCCAATCTCATGACCGGCAAAGGGAGGCTCGTTGTCATTACATTATTTACTGTATGATTTGTTGAAAACAAAAATGGAATTTTTTGAGATTTACTCTTCACCAGCTGTCTTACAGTACGTCTGCAAATTCAAACATTTTTCTTACTATAGCATGATGAAACAAAATATTTATAAAATTATACGCTTTCAATGTGAGTAAAATCATAAACCTTTTTGTTAAGCTTAAAAGAGGCTCTTATTGCAAGCAGTTTCCTCTGATAAATATAATCCTTATATTTCATGTAGCTTTGCCGAGCAAAGTAAATATTACTGACATTAAGATGGGAAACATGGCATTCTTTAATAATAGCATGTTTCGAAATGAAATAGAAGTGAAAGTTTAAAATAAAGCAACACACTATCCGTGATTGTGAGCTAGCTTTCTCCATAGACACGCAGAATGTTACCACAGACACGCTCCATAGACACGCAAACAATTACGAAACTTTTTCAAACAGATAAAATGTTACAAACATAGATAGAAGGAAACTTACCATCCATGACTATGAGCTGTTCTGGAAAAATCCCTTGAATAGGTAAATCATTCTGGTCTCTGATCCTAAAAGAAGCATCGTCTTTCCCTAAGTGTGCCGTAATAATGTCCTGAGCGGCACTCTTCCTCAGGCACCGGGCATCCTCACAGTTCGATCTCTGCAGAAAAAGACCCTTATTGTGCTGGGTCACCTCTTCGAATGTCCTGTTGAAGACCATTGTGGGACCCACTAGCCAAGCGGATCGAAATAATCCTTGAGCTTTGGGTGAAGATATCAGAGCCATGATACTCGCTGCACCAGCGTCCGGACCAAAGAGAGTGACCTGGATTTAAAAAGAAATGCTTCAGGTTAGTAACCCTTAAAGATAATTTTTCGAACTGATAGCACAAAAATTACACGCACTTATCAATAATCTTTTCAATTTATATTGAAGAAATTAAAACATTTGTTAATCACGATCAACAAGTGACACAGTGTCTAGCAAGCATGAGACACACGTAGTGGTCGAGGTAATAACAGCCTGATGCCCTTATTTCTAGGGGAATATCAAAGTTTCAATCAGCGATCTCATTGTACCCCAAAACTAGTTTACTCTTGTTGCTGGCGTTAGCTAAGGCTCATCCACACTGTAAGAAATGGATACTCAAATTTCACGAAACTATCTTCGTTTCTGACGAAACCTTTTCCTGGTATATGCACCGAGCGAACATTTCCTCAAATCAACGAAATAACTATCGCCAACTTTTTCAAAGAAAAGAATTTCGTCAAAAGTAAAGAAATATTTTACTCTTCGGTTTTTCGAAAAAAGAAAAACCACGAGGGGCTCTTGGCGCATTATGGTATCTAAAGCGTGGTACTGTTCCTAACTTTTTTGTAGGCAACCGTAAAGGTGAATCAACGTTGCCCTAACAATACAAGAAAGACAGATTGAACAGAGAGATAAATCCTTGCCCGAAGGTTATCAATTGCCCACAATGCACTGAGAGGAGGTTCCAAGTTGAGGAAGCATGTTCGTCATATATTTAAAGAGTTTGCACTTTGTCTCCAGGGCTAAAGAGAAGGGCTAGTTCATTCCGCTCTTAGAGCTGAAGCTACAATTTCTCTCCTCATGACGTCACTGTATACACAGATCTCGAAGATCGCTAGCAAAGATAGGATAACTTTGCATCTTTTTCTCTGATAAATTAGACTTTTTCTGGTTATTAGATTTCAAACTTTACATAATTAACACATTATTTCCGTTCATAAACATAGTTCAAAAAAACTTTCTTGGCCATTATATTAAAAAAATACCATTTTAAACTTACAAAAATATTCTACTAGTTAGAGAAAATGACACTATAAATATTTTATTTTAAAAAGTTCAGTTTTAACTTTAGTTATTAAGAAAAGCATATATCGACACTTTTTTTATCTACGTAATCTTTGATAACTATAAATTGGGTTAAATTTAGAATCCTGATTTTTAAAATATGCCGTTAATAGCAATTTGTTCATACTTAATCATTAGGAAACATCAACCTTAAATGCTTACTACTGAAACAAAATAATAATTTAGGTACATAATGATATTTGAAATTTTACAATTGTTTATAGATATTTAAATTTAGGAGAATATAATTTATAGATATTTAATTTTAAGAGAATATAATTAAAAAAAATTATAAATATTTAGAATAACTACATTAAAAAATATGTTATGAAATTAGGAGAATTTTAACTATATACTATATATTTTATTTATGCTTTTTATTTACGCTCTAATTTTCTTTGACTTTACCCATTTTTAATTTTTTCGCCTGCTTTCTTTTTGAAGTAACGAGAAGCGGTTTCTATTTAGATATGAATTTTTATAAAAGTTCTTAACGATAGAATAAACGTATTGCTGTTTTATATTAACTGTGTCATTTCGTTTGCAATTAATTGAATCTATTCTTTACATAGTTGTTCATTTACTTTAGGGAACACGTGGAAAATTAAATTTTTTCCTTTTGTGTTTCTATCGGAATTTTTGCAAATCGCAATCGCGCAAACTGGCATTTCATTAATAGTTTTAATTTTTTGTAAATTCACTGCAATAAACTGAGGAAAATCATTTTATAAAATAACAAATATCTTGGAATATGTCACAAAAAGGAATGCTCCAATATTAGTTAGAGCTAGTTAGACTGAAAGGTCCGTTCTTGAAGTAAAAGTGCAAGATTCGCGCTACAGTGACGTCACTGGAGAAAATCGGAGGTTTGGAGCGGCGAGAGTTTCTTCAAAGGAGTAAACCAGCCCTTCTATTCTCTTCAGCCCTGCTTTGTCTCAAATCCCGTGATTTCATGATGAAATGATTATCAAAATTAGCGAGATATATCTTAAGAATTGCTGAATCGTCAAAATTGAAGGTTTAATTTCAGAGAGTGCGTCGCAAAATGGGCGAGCCTTTTTGTCTCACTGAGAGCTTATCTTGCGCAATCCAGATAGTATTATAAAATTTATTCATATTAAGGCATACGGTTTAAACTATATATTACTGTTAAGACCATTTGTTAATTTGGTAATCCCATAAATGATAGTGGAAATTTTTTTTTCATAATTTGACTCAAATCAACATCTTAATAACGTATTATATTAGCATCCACTTTTCAAACATCATTCTTTGTTTTTTTTTCTCCTTTTTTTTAGTATTATTCACCACTATTTTGTTTTTTTTTAAATAGTTAAAATGTAGAATTTTATATAACGAGAGTCTCAATCGACTAAACTGCACAATAATTTGTTGTTCAACTTATCAATATAACTCGGCATTATAAATATTACAAGTCAATATCACGTCATTGTATTTTAATCTGATAATTGATTAATTGTGCAGAAATCATAAACGATGTTATTGCTAAAATTTTCAAACATTAATGTTTTAAGCATAAATCAATATTCTATTTATTACTGACCAGGATTGTGACAATATAGTTCAATGTGTATACAATGTGCTTTCAATGTTCATCATCATTCTTATAATTACAAATATGAAATGAACTATATAGTCCTCGTTATAATTTTTTCGATAAAAATGTATTATTTAAATTAAAATTATCATTAATCTTTTTTAGGACGAACTTTAAATCATTAAAAATTTAATATTTTCACAACGTATAATTTTCCGTAGTGGCATGCTTCATATAAATGTAATATGGATGATTATTTTAAGAATTATTTCCTGTACAGAGAACAGTTCTTTTTAGAGTGTAGTACTGACTTAAATGTACTTCATATAATTTTCAAAAGAATTAATTTACATAAGTTTATAAAGCAATGCTAGTCTGAGAAGAGAATGTGGATTTTAAAGATAGTTTCAAAAAGCATTAAACGAGTGCTATTAATATTTTCCGTTGCTCTGGTGGCGGTTCGTTTCTCATTGACATTTCCAAATTATAAATGAATATACGAATGAGAAAATGCTACTATGCTTTGCTGAGATACGCTAAGCCAAGCTATGTTATGCTATTCTGAGTTCTTTTGCATTTTTTGAGTTAAAATTAAAAAAGTTATGGTAGTTTAAACGCATTTAAGTTTGAAAGATAATTACATCTATGGATTTTTTCTGAAAACAGATATTTACATTAAAGAAATTTTTTAAAAAATAATAAAATAAAATTCTTTTTATATGTTTAATAGTAATCTATCTTCCGTATTGAAAACGGAATTAAAAATAAACTTGATGACAGTTTTAATTTTAAAGAAAATGTTTTAAATGTAAATGCCATTAGCTCTATGCTTGTTCCATTTGCATTATAAATTCATCAGATATTGATACAGAATTAATGAGCATTACGTTCAAAAAAGTTTAACATGTTAAGTATCATTCATAGTTTCTGAAAGAAAAAAAAATCCTGATATATTTATAACATTTTCTTTTAAAATGTTGAAGAGAAGTGTGATTGTCACGCAAACAGAAAAAAGAAAAAAAAGTAAAGAAGAAAGAATATCACTGTTTATTTCTTCATTTGACAAAGTTGAGTTGAGGCGTTCAAAGCAACGGCATCAACCTTTTGAGGTTTCTTTACTGAAATAGTTCTATTTTTTTTCCTTTCGTTTTATCTTTCTCCAATTTCTTTTGTTACCTTAATACAAACAGGTTTCTTGTTTGAGTAAAGTAAATACGCAAAGAAAGAAAGTAAATATCATGTAAAGGCGATCTTTATATCGTCTTTAAAGACCATTTTTCTACTTTTTTCCCCAACTTATGGTAGATATATCACCCATTCTGATTATTGTGGCGAATATATTATTCTACATGTAACAATTGCTGACAAAACACAAAAAAGTTTTCGTTGTGTATTAAGAGAATGTACTTCAAAACGTATTGTTTGTTCGATATATTTCGAAGTTGTTTAGATGGTGTTACCTGATAAATAAAATGTTTTGAAAGCAGACAGATAATTTTTAGGATGTTTTGTTCGAAATATTTCAATTGTTTGCAATTTCTGCTGTTGCTGATTTTAATTAGGTGATGGGTTTTTTGTAACATATAGGGTGTAAAAAAAGCCTCGAAAGGTCACATACCTCAAAAAATATACAATGCATCGAAATATGGACGGACTCAATATTTTTATATAAGCTATTCAATAAAAAAAAAACTCAGTCTTCCACCTCAAAACCCTGGAAGCGGGGTGGGTGGCAACCTTGAAACCTTGAACATAAGCCTCTATTTTTTTATTACAGATTCAGATTCTCCCATCATTATCATAGTAAGCCCAAGACATAGTTGGCCCAGGCAGCCCAATGTGGGCCAGTGTCTTCCTCCCAAAGATTTCTCCATTTGATAAATATGATAATTTTTATTCAGATTCTCAAGAAAAAAGGAGTCCAATTCAACTCATGTTCATCTATGCATTTTGCTTCACCAAGGGGCTGTAACTATAAAAAATTTAAATGGGGAAAAAGTTGTTTAAAATGGATATACGTAAATTTTGAAACTTGTCAATTTTTAATGATTTTTAATCTGATGGGTATCAAGATTCGCCATTATAAGTAAATTATGCACTATTTTTTTTTCTTTGAGTTCCTACTTCAGTGGACTATCTATAAGTTAAAAAGGTTTCTTCCTTCGGAGGAATTTGAATCTGCAATAAAATATTGAGTTTATATTTAAGATTTCAAAGTTGTTCCAAATTATATTTCTGGATATATTTGACCATTTCCAAACTTTTTTTGCACCTTCAAGATTTCACATTATTTTGTCACCAATATTTCACATTATTTTGTACGTATCAAATTCTACACCGGAAATGACTGATTTTCAGGTTAATATCTGGTAACGCAATGAAGATTTTACTT